GTTTTGAACGACGTCGATGTTCTGCTAGTTATTTTAGCATACAGCAGTGGAGGAAGTGAATGAAGCCAGTCTGTGTTGATAAGGATTCAAATTAAATTAAATTTGTCTGACAAAGCAGCAGCTCTCATTTACAGTCGTCTCGTTCAGCTCGGTACTTCTCTCCTCTCAGTAGGGTTGTTTACAGCACACGTGATTTACGTTTAGCTTCTTAGTTTAGCCTCCATCACAGTGACAACACACATGCTTCAGCAGAGGCCACGCCTCCTGCAAGAATCACTTCTCTACGCATCAAGTCCAGACCTTCGTATGAAGCAAAGTGAAGGACAGGGTCTGGTTTGAACCAGGCTAATATTGCATGTGAGCTCAGTTATTTTTTTTATCAACAAGGAAACTCCAGTAGAGTCAAGCCACCATAATTCTGTTGTTAGCTTATTGTTGCACAACGTAGTAATTGTAATTGACTTGGTCTTGAACGGTAGTGTTTTGTTTTGTTGTTTTTCCTTTACTTATAACTCCATCAGTAGTCTGTAGATAGAAATATAAGCCTGACTCATTTAATTAACCCTTGTTAACATGAAACAGGAAAAACATAAATTTTAAAACGATACACTATTTCAAATTAGGCTACAATTTTACTTGGTTTCTGATGACATATAGATGTGGACAACTGTACTATAAGTTTTCTTTTGTATTTATTTTTTTCTGACAGGTCACAGTGAAAATGCAATGGAAGTGCAAATACAGGGTATATATATATATATATATATATATATATATGTCTACACATATATCTGTATAAATATGGTTGATATCTGCTGTTGAGATGTGATATTGGAGCACTCTCTGTATTTTGCAGGTATTCATGGAGTTCAACAGGATTGTTGGCATGAACCTCAAGCAGGAATTCTACAAGAGCATTGATCAACAGTCCTCGTCTCATTATTTATCTGGAACAGGAACACTAAATATTTCGCTGCTCAATACAATGGTGTTGAAGTTCTTAAGTTAACACACCTAAACCTGATTAGTTTCATCATTGTGTAAAAATTAGAATGGTTTAAGGCAACGGGTTTCCTCGCAAATTTCTAGTAATGTCAACTAATTCGGCTTTAGAGTGTATAATCTCCCATTAAACATTCCTATTTAGAATTCTTTGTACAGATATTTTTACAACCCCATCTCTAAAACAGTTGGGACATATGTAAATAAAAACATAATGCAATAACTAATAAATTTTATACAACATTTTTTTATTGACACTGCAAAATTTCAAATGTTTACCCTAAGAAATTGTACTGTGTTTTTTTTTAATAAGAGAATTTTGAATTGAACAGCAGCAACACATGAAATGAAAGTTTGGACATGTTTACCTCTGTGAAGCATCTCCTCTCTTTTAGCAACAGACTTTAAACAAGTGAGGAGACCAGCGACTGGAGTTTTGAAAGGCCAACGTTGTCTCACTCTTTTTTACTGGACGGTCTGCTGGATGAGAGTATGAGTTGTTTTAAAAGCTGGTGCCCGTCATAGCTTAGGCAGTAATGCACCCCTAATGCACCCCTATACCATGAAAGAGGCAGGTTTTTGAACTGTGTGCTAATAATGGTCTTTTCTCCTCTTTAGTACAGCAGGCTTGGTGTCTGTGGTTTTCAGAAGGATTTCTAATTTTGATTTGTCCTACCACAGAACAGTTTTCAATTTGGTCTTCTTTGCATTATGGAGCTTTAAATATTATTTGCAATGTGTTTACAGGTGTTTTTGAGTCCATTATTTATGTGTTTATGTTTTTTAATGCCGTGATGCCTGAGGGTTTCAGAATTAACCTTCAAGTCTTGTTCTTTATGAGCAGAGATCTCTCCAGATTAAAATCATTGATTTTATTTTAACTGTAGTTTGTTGGCCAACTTTGCAGCCTTTCAGCTCCTCTGGATGGCATTAATCTGGCCTCCAGTTCTAATGTAAWGAACCTTGGTGTTATTTTTTATTTTAATTCAAATTCAAATCAATTCAAAAATACTTTATTGATCCCAGAGGGAAATTTGGTAAAAATAACAAAAACAAAGTAAAGAACAGGATGGATTAGAAACAGTTTTTTGCAGGGTGGTAAACTTCTGTCCATCTTTACTTCAGAGAGATTCAGCCTCTCTAAAATGTTCTTTTTATAACCAGTTGATTAATTGAAAAACGGTTTTCCAGTTTCTTATTTATACCACTTAATTTTAATCACAGCCTTTTGTTGCCCTATTTTGACATGTGTTTTTCCCCAACAACTGTACAATTTCTTAGTTTCAGCATTTCATATATTAAAATGGGTTTATGAGATCTGCAAATCATAGCATTTTTTTCATGTACACAATGTTCCAGTTTTAGAATCAGTTTTGTTTCTTTTTTAAATACAACAATGAGGTTATTGAAGCTTTTAAGATCTAAAGTATATTGTACCTAATAGTTTTGTATTGTTTTGTACCTGAAAAGCCTAAATAAATGTACTCATCTACACAACCTGTAAAAGTTATAACAAGTAGATTTGAGCTCTCTGTTTGGATGTCTTACCACGCCCCACCACAGGGCATCTGCGTAGCTGGAGAAGCCCGTCTTGCCCTCCTCATCAACAGCATCTTTCTCAGCCAAGTAGACAAAGTAGGAGGAAAAGATCAGACCCAGAAAGCCAATGTACAGGGTGGTGATCAGCTCCTGAAAAAGACAAGGTGATCAAAGGTAAAACAACAAAAATAGAGAGACTTTTATTGTCATCGTACAGAGAGCACAGTGAAATCACAGTTCAGAACACCCATTCAGAAGAAGACAGGACATAACAAACATGGGAGAACAGGTGCTCTGGGTCATGCAGCCACAGACCCTGCACAGAGCAAGGATCATCTTCATGAAGGCATCACAAGGAAGTGCTACCCTTAGAAAAACTAAAAACAACACAAGGGAAGATGAGGAAAAAAAATCAAAAACATCATATTATATCAACAATGTGACACACTATGGTGTTTATAAAAAACCTCTGCATAGAGCAGATTTATTAGCCAGAGGAGTAAGTGAGTTTAGGGGGCGTGTATCTGAAGCCACGAGTGTTGTATGCTTGTCTGAAGAATGAGCCTGAAGAATTGAGTCCCCAAAACCAGCGCAGCCATAGTTCAGAATATGGATGTTAACGGTTCATTCTGTGCAGCCCTCAGCTTGCTCCAGGAACCAGATCACAGACGGGTGTGAGAGGAGAGCATCAGTTGACATAATCCACCCAGGAAGAATTTAGTCAACAACTCAAGGCCATGTAGGGGAGAGCCGAATCTGTAATCAGTTGTTTTGGGAACAGAAGAGTCAGGCAGACGATAATTTTCCATCTGCTTCAATGTCTGCTGGTACATCTCAAAGTGGCGAATGCCATCAGACAAATAGTGTGGACGATTCTGCCGAGCCGAAACTATCAGCTTCTCCAAGATCAATTCCATCTGGCCAGCAAAGTCTAGGAACCACAGCTGGCCCATGACCCTCAATAGAACAGCTTGCAGACCGAGTCCAGCTCGCTCAAGGCAAATGTCTGAGTGCTGATAGAACGGAAATCCTTCATATTGGTCAGGCAGCCAGGAGATGAAAAGCCACCAACGTTGTACTAATACTAAGTACTAAGAAATCACAGTGTTCTATTAAAGCTGCTGGGGTTTTGTAACTTTTTCATGTCACAGCTTGGTTGTTGCTATTCCCACTGGAAAACCAACCCTTAAAAACCTGTCTTTTCTTGAGTAAAACACAATTTTTATTATGAAAAACTACCCAGTTCTTTGTATCTTTGGCCAAATGTTTTTAAAGGGTCCACATGGTAAACATGTAAGCCTTACACCAAACAAAGTGAGTGCTTTAAGTCAGAGATTCTTAACCAATGGACCGCGGCCCAATTGTGGGCCACGAGCGCCACCTTGAGGGCCTCAAAAGAACAACAGTTTTTAACGTTGGGCCTCAGAGGGCCGTGGGACCACATTGATTTTGAATAAGGTGCAATAAACTTTCTCACCACTAGTAGCAGTAGTGCGCCACTCAGATGTTTAACAACTTTTTAATATGTAGAAGAAGAAACTTAGAAACCTGCTGAGAATGGAAACTTATTTTAAATGAAAAGTTGAAGCAAAAATGAAAGTAACTCATCAAAAAACACCAAAGTTTGTCACTAATATGAAGAGCAGCTTCTGGTTCTACCATGCAAAAGTTTAAATTTGCAATTTATCTATTACATTTTTACAGTTTTTTTTATTTGAAACATTTACACTGAACATTTTAAATGTATTTATTGTAGAACCACAATTTTATTTATTGAATTGTCTATTTTTGTTAATTTTTGTTTAAAAAAAGGGAAAAAATGTTATTTTTGTGTTGATAAGTCTGAGTGGTCTGTTGACTGACCTTTGTATTTGTTCAAATAATTGTTATGGGCAGGTTACAATATAAAAATGTTTGTCATAATCATGTCTTGTGATTATTTGACAGGAGTTTTACTTTTAAAATGTAAGTGTTTTTAATTTAGTTAAAATGCAAATACCATACAAATTAAACCCAGATTTATAATAATTATCATTTTGATCCATACATTGGTAATGTCTGACTGGGCCTCGTGTTACTTTATTTTCAACAAATTGGACCCCGAGGTCAAAAAGGTTAAGAAGCCCTGGTTTAAGTGACCTGTGAGTGACATCCTGTGTGCAGCTGCTGACTGACGCCAGTCTTCTTCCTTCTGTTTATTCAGCAGCAAGACGCGTCGTCTAACTAACGGTTGTTTAGGATGTCCATCCCCATGAAGAAACAAGCATTAAAGTCTAACTATTGCTGCAATCTTCTCAGGGAGGACTTTGCACAAATAATGCCACACATCTTCTTTGGTTTTTGTCAAGTTTTTAAAGAAATACTTCAAATGATTTTTCTTTGGGGGGTGGCAGACACTAAGGTGGGTGGAACAGGAAACTGTTGACTGAACTCCTCAGTCCAGCTTCAGCAGAAGAGCAATACTGGATTCAGTCATACATAAAGTATGTTCTAAATTTAAGATTTTTAAATGTGATATGGTTATAGCAAAGCTATTTTAATTTTCATTTTTTTAATCAGCACAAAAACGAGCCATATTTAGACCCCTTAATAAATTTGCTTAGAGTTGCTAAAGATGCACTGCAGATTAAAAACTATGGAGAGCTGAAATTATTTAAAAGATTAATCATGACGTTATTAAACAAATGCTTTTACCATCTAAGGGAGAAAATAGGAACAAAATGAATGTAAAAATTATTTTAAACCTACAAAACTCTTGAACATTAAGATGATCAAATGTAAATAGTCACACTCAAATAATTCTTTATTGCTTTATAAATTGTTTATTCATGAGTTTGAATAATCGTTAATCAAACTATTGCAGCACATTAAAAAGGTGTTTGGACAAACTAAATGCTGTACTTTTAGTCTTTCAGGAACATTTAAAATGGTTGCTATCTGCTTAATTTACATTTTACATAAATAACAACACATCCCACAAAAAGGCATTTAGCTAAAATGTTTGTTGGGCATTAGCCCCGATATGTATTAGCTCAGTGCTACACATTCTCCTCTCGTCACTGTTGTCCTCCATCCATATTTTCAGTTCCAGGCTGAGTCATTTCTACCTTCTCCTCTCTGTCAACGCTCTCTGGTTTCATTTAAAAGAGTCGATCATC